ATACCAGCAGGTTTCCTTATAGGTGCCCAAAGATCTGTTTAATGTCACTGCTGAATGAGCATCCATGGATGATTCAGGGGACTCACTCATGAAGTCTCCCCACCCACTGGATATTCTAACTTCAAAAGAACAGCCTTCACTAGCCAACCAAGTAATTCTCTGAGCAAAGATAATTCTAGGAACTAGTTATGTAACATATGGTTCCTCCTCCATAATGGATTCTAAACATTCACATACAGTGAAATGGACTAAGTCGAGTGTGAAGTGTAACATATGAACTGATTTTTCCATTAAAAGACTCAAGCATAACTGCATGGAAAACAGATTTATGCTGGGGAAGAGGCATCCCTCCTAGAAGGTAAAAGCAAGTGCACTCTCTGACAAAAAGGGTTTTATGCTTCAAACCTCAAGGGCCAAAATAAAGGCCAAATCACAAATTTCAGATTCCAAGTTTATGAAGGGGAAAACATACTAGAGGTATTCTCTGCAAACAGGGATCTTTCTTCTTTCTTTCCTTAATGAAATTTTATTAAGCATCCCATCAATCATTCTAGGCACTCTATATTACAAATCTCGACCTGACACTTACAATCAATCAATACAATCCGTGGAGGGAGACACCAACATATCTGAGGGACATACAATTAATTACAGTCCAGAAGCAAAGAATGGGGGCTCTGGGGTCAAGATCTGTATTCAAACCCTGATGCTGCCATTTACTAATGTGTAATCTTGGGCAAAGTTACCTTTCTCTGCCTTAGTCTACTCATCTTTAAAATGGGGATAATGAACAATTCAAACGTCTATCAACAGGTAAACTGGAGTATGTCCATACAATGGAATACTATTCAACAATAAAAATGAATGGGCTAATGACACACACAACAGCCTGGATCAATCTCAAAATCATTACACTGTGTGAAAAAAGCCAGGCACAACAGAGTACCTCCTAATGCAAAATTCTAGAAAATGCAAATGCAAACTACTGTATAGTAACAAAACCCACATGGAGTTGCCAGAGACAGAGGAGAGACAGACCGCAAAGGGGCATGGAGAAACTTTTTGGGGTGATGGGAATGTTCTGTATATTGATTGTGGTGGTGGTTTCATGGGGCATATACATCTGTCAAAACTGAAATTGTGTACTTTAAATGGATGACATTTATTGTATATAAATCAGACCTCAATAAAGTTGATTTAAAAAAAACTTTCTCACCGATTTGTTTTGAGAATTAAATGAGAGAAAATGTAAAACACTAGGCTAGGTAGCTGGCAAACAATAAACGTCTGTTGATAAATGATGATGACAGTGACGTTGGTGGACACTGTGGTAACAGAACAGAGTGTTCTCTTGGGAGTCAGAAGACCAGAGTTCCTCTCTGAGTCCTGCTATTTTGTCTTATAATTTCTAATCTCAGCTTTTAAACATGGCAAATGACAGGTTTGGACGAGATGGCCTACCAGAGTTCCTTCAATCACCACAAATTTGATTCTAAAGTGATGACGTCACAATGGCACAAAACAACCTGCCTTGTACTCACTCCTACGTGCCATTCAGGACTGGCAGGATGCTCACGCTATAAATTATCAGCCTTTACTACACTCTCCCTCACCCAGGTTCAAATCTGAGGCTCCAGAGTCATTGCATTACAATTTCCATGCACACTGCTGCTTAACCACCTAACAGCTTTGTTAATGTCTGGCAGATACCCTGCCTCCTTGAGTCCTCTGGCACATCCTCCTGGATGGTCACCCTGATGTCCTATGCATCCAATGGCTGACAATCTGTGAGAATAGGCAGATCATAAGTGTGGCCAGCAGCCACTAGGCACTGAGCTGCCAGTTTAGCACTGGCAGAAGACACGCTATGTACTTGTCTGAGAAAACAGACTTTGGGAACAGAAATGCAAGATCCCATATTAATACGATCACTGGGAATTATTAGTGAGTGGAGAAGTCTGGCAGCTAAAAGGAGTTTAGTGGGTAGAGCTAAGGAGGATCTGGCAAAAAGGAATGAGCCTGTCAAGATACTGGAAAGCAAATAAAAATGCTAAAGCATGAGGAGAGTATTCTCATAAGCTCTTACTAAATCTTGCTGTATAAAACTGATTTTCTGACGTCTCCTGTTGACTACTCTTCTACCTTAAAACCCCTTTGGAATGAGGCAAGGCAGAAGTACATACAACTTGCATCTTCTCCGGTCCTCAGTCCTTGGCTTCAGCAGCACTACAGCAGGGTTGTCAAACCTTAGCACGCCACATATTCATCTGTATTATTTAAATTAATGCAGATATCTGGGCCTCAGCTCCAGTTTCTGATTTGTGCATGGCCTGGGAATCTGTATCTTAATCATCAACCCAGAACATTTCATAAATGTCCTTTTTGACCCTCATCCCAATCTTGTGATTACCAGGTAAACATCCAAGTTTTACAGATTTAATTCTCTCTTTGTATGCAGTCACATACAAAAGTGTTAAAAGAAGGCTTTGGGACGCTACTTCGAGCCATGAGAATGTAACTGGTACTAGACTTGCCTTCCCGCTGCAAACTACTAGAACATTGGACAATAGGCAGCACAAGACTTTGATTCCTGAAAGAAGGGAAACAAGAAAGTAAGCCTGATGGTCACCCTGGCTTCCTACGTAGAGGTACTTCCTAGACTCTGGCACAGTGAGAGGGAGCCCAACCGAGCACTGAGTTGAGGAGAGAGAGATTAAATTTAGGGGTATGTAGGTGGCTGGAATTTGCAAAACAGTGTGACAGACTAGAGAGCTACGCAGAAGAAGAGCTCCAGAAATCTAGACTGACTGAACACCAATCTGTGCCTTGGTAGGGGGTGAAACTCTACAGGTCTGGGCAAAGAATTAGTACCAGGAAGGTATGAGCTGAACAATCTCCAGAGCTTATACAGAATCAGAAAAGGCTCAGCTCTACCCAGCCAGAGTGAAGAGACCTTGCTGAACAACCAGGCACTCAGGAGACACCTTAGTGTCTTAGTGTTTAGGACTAGCTCTAGACCTGCTCTAATAAAGCTTAAAAGCAATTCTCAAAATGATCAAGTCAATTAACATTAACTGCCTACCAAAGCAAATATATCAGTCTTTACAACACCACACTCTAACCAATTGGGCAAACTGGCGAACCTTTTATCAGTCTTTACAAGAAGACAGCAAGATCCAGACATTCAACACAATAGCATTGACAATGTCCAGCATCCAAACAAAAACTACTAATAATGTGAAGCAGAAAAATATGACTTTTAATCAGAAACAAAATTGGTCAATAGAAACAGACTCAGAAAAGATAGAGATGATGGAATTTACAGCAAAAGAACTTGAAAACAGATACTATAAAGGCCACTATCAAGGATAAAGGAAAACAGGAACAAAATGAGTAGACAAACGGAAGACATTTTCAAAAGAACCAAATGGAGCTTCTAGAGCTGAGAAATATGAACAATATCTGAAATAACAAATTCATTGAATGGGCTTAATAACAGATTGGACATTATAGAAGAAAAGATCAGCTACACAACAATAGAAACTATCCAAACTGAAGCACAGAGGAAAAAGTAGACTGAAAAACAAACAAACAAAAACTCCAAGCTTCAATGACCTGTGCAAACGGTTATGTGGACATACGTACCTGTAACTGGAGTCCCAGAAGGAGTGGGAGGGAAGAAAAATATATTTAAAGAAATAATGACTAAAATTCTCTGAATTTGAGGAAAACTGTAAATCCACAGATTCAAGAAGTTCAAGTAAGATAAACACAAAGAAAACCACACCAAGGCACATCATAACCAAATAGCTAAAAATAACTGACAAAGGAAAAGAAATCTTAAAAGCAACTAGAAGGGAAGAAGATATTACATACAAGGGAGCACAAAGATAAGAATAACTACTGACTTCTCATCAGAAACAGTGTAAGCCAGAAGACAATGAAATAACTACTTAAAGAGCTAATAGGAAAAAACATTGTCAGCCTAGAATTCTATATCTGGTGAAAAGTGAAGACATTTTTAGACAAAGAGAATTTATTGCTAGAGAATCTGCTCTATGAAAAATGATAAATGAAGTTCTTCAGGCTGAAGGAGACTGAAGCCAGATAGAAACTAGGATTTACACAAAGGAATGAGTGTGGAAATGGTAGATATATGGGTAACAAAGAAAAAGAGGCTTTAAAAATTTAGGTCCCAAGCATAAACTCCCCTCTAGTAGGTTTCTTTTTGAGATACACACAAACTTCATCTTCTCTTGAGTTCTGAACACAGGCTTCTGCCATGCCACAGATGCGAGCCTTTTCAGTACTGTTTCCCCTCATTTATATAGTCAGCCATTAACTGAATACTGAGTCAGGCATTGGAGATGCGAAGATAAATAAGTCCTGGTGTCCTCCATCAAGGGGAAAAACAGTCAAGCCAACAAAGAGTTAAAGTGTGATATGTCCTAACTGTACTCAAATCCTGGCTCCAGTCACTTAGTACCTCTGTGACACGGGGCAACTTACTTAACCTCTCTGTGCCTTAGTTTCCATAGCAGTAAAATTAGGATAAAATTAGTACTATCTCCTAGGGTTATGGTGAGAGCAAATGCTTTAATATATATAAACTGGTAAAACAGTGCCTGGCATGTAATAAACACCTAATAAATATTAGCCGTTGTTATTACAATAGGTTTGCCAAGGAGGTGGCAGGAACACAGAGAAAGGACCTCTGAGTCAGAGAGAGAGAAGGATGGGAAGGGGAGACGTAGTCATAAAAGGTGACGCTGCAGTGGAGTTTTGAAGAACAAGCAGGGTCAGTGGATAGAGCAGGGGTGAGGTACTGCATGCAGAAGCAGCAGCATTTAGCTAGGCCTGGAGAAGTGAACTGGCGTGTGAGGTGCAACCGCTGCAAATGTTTTCAGTAAGGCTGCAGCAAACGGGGCCTCAGCTGTGGTCTAAGAAATGCTCTGGAGCCTCTCTAGAAGCCCTTTTGACTTCCTCCAAGGGCATCTTACCTCCTCCATCATCTGATCCATCCAGGCTCTGCTGTCTGAGGCGATGACTGCTCCCAAAAAAGAAAAGGAGAGCAGAAAATGAGTTTCAAACACAGAAGGGAACAACAAATTTTTAGTGTATCCATTCTTTCTCCTAGATGAAAATGTTCCTGGACCCACTTTCTTCCAACAACTTGATTAAACCTAATTAGACAACGCGTCTGCCATGTATGGTTGCACAGGCTGTGCAATGCTCCATTCCAGAGGGCAGCATCACACGGACTACGATATGAATGCTCCCCCATCCCAGGACTATGATACAAATGTTCCCGAAGTGTGAAATTGGGTGGCCCTGCCTATAAAGTCACCTTCATCTAAAAACTTTCTTTCTTTCTTTTGATATAAGTCTTAGGAGAAGACTGGGCTTAGAAAGCTGGCATTACTTCTGCCCATCAATATCAACAAAGCAGAAGGCATGTGTCAGTACCCTGACACCTGGACACATAGTCCTAAAAATCACATAGTGGAAGATACGAGTTTTAGGCATCAATTGACCTTCAGTTGAGGAAGCAGCGTTAACCAAACCCTTGACTCAGTATGCATAATTCCAGCCCCAGACCACAGCCAGTTTCAAACTATCTTGTTTTTTAATGCTGTGTTCAACACAGACTGAACAGACAATGACACCAAGACTGTACTGTTGACAAAGGTCACCACAGGATGCCAGAAGAATGCTAGAAACATACTCTTCTATGTTTTCAGCAGCCTTCCTTCTTGACCTGGAAAAAAGAAAGACAAGGTTTAAGAGAACCTACTGGTCTCATGCACTGGGGTAGTGTCTTGGGGAAGAGTTCCAAAAGTGGGGCAAATTAGTACATTCTAGCACTTTACTTGTCTGGATTCCCCTTTATAGACCGAGCCTCATAACCAGCATGAGAGAATTACAGACACTGTAGTGCCTTCTTACAGCCTTATTTCAACATAACTCCGAATTGTTGAGTTTCAGTATAGGTTGAACAAGAAGCTTGAAGCTCATCTGGATACAGATGATACAGTGCCCTCCTTTCTTTCAACAATTAACTGACCAATTTATAGAGAACTTTCTTAAGACTGAGGCCCTGGGTCCTGTTAGCTGGTGCCATTAGCTGCCAGCATGTGGAGCAGCAGGGGAAGCACTGGCCACGCAGTGCAGGCTGCAGTCTCAGAAACTGTTTTGTCCTCCACATGAAGGACCAGAAGACCCTGTGAGTGACGCTGGGTGAGTGGCACCCCTGAAGGCATTCCATGAGAACAGGAGGCAGGGCATACATGTATCTAAGGCAGTGATTCTCACACTTTAGTGTGCATAAGAACCATCTGGGAAGCCTGGTAGACATGCAGATTGCTGAGCCTGACAATGAGGGATTTCTGAATCAGTTGATCTGGGGGTGGGGGAGCCCAGGAATATGCATTTTAAACAAATTTCCAGGTGATTCCCATCTAAGTAGATCACTGCTGACACTCTGAGAAACACTGATCTAAAGTCTTCTAAGGAAGACTGCCAAATGTTGATGATTGTTAAAGTTGGGTGTTGGGTACATGGTGATTACTTTTCTGTGCGTCTGAAAATTTCTACAATAACAGAGTTGGGTTTTGTTCTTTCTTTTAAATGTATTCTTTTAAGTCAGAAATCTAGCACCCTGGTGATCAGGGGCAAAGGGTGGTGGCAATATCATAGTGGCCCAGAGGCGGTAGCATTGGAGGGCCTGACAGTATAGGCCCACAGTTTCACCAGTTAAGGGCAACACTGGAGCCAGCCAGCAACCCCTGCAAAATGCAAACAACTCCCCACAAGAGCACACCCATAAATTAATTTTTTTCAATTAAAAAATAAAATTGAAAAAAATTATCAAAATAAAAATAAATTAAGCCTAAGTTAAAACAGACTACTTTCTGTGAACTTTACACTATATCAACGGTACAGTTCGAAAAAAAGAAAGAATGCTGGCTGAAGTCAGGAGGGAGAAGAGAATGGGTGCGTAAAGCTGGAAGTACAGGGTGTAACTCTGAGGGAATCTCCGAGGCCGCAGTCTTTGACTCTTCAAGGGAAGACTGAGGAAGCAAGGGTGAAGGGCAGAGGGACAGCAAGCTCAGTGAAGGACACCAGAGGTAATCTGCAACGGGGTGTCCAGGGCATCGCTGCTGGATATTGCTGGATGGGGTAGGTTTGCAGTGCCCATGCTAAGTCAAAGGAATCCTAAACGAAGAGTCAGTCTGGGTGAGAGGACAGAAGCTCCTGCCTAGCTCACCCATTCCCCAGGACCACTGTCTCTACCTGTCCTTGTGAACTTAAACTCCACACCCCATTGTCCACGCAACTCAGCTAATATGTCACCAAGGGTAGAGGTGCACGGATGGAAACAGCGTCAAGAGAAGAAGAGGTTATCGAGGCCAGGTGGGTTGGGCCAGCGCCTTCATTTTGGACCTGAGCAACATCTGTCTCTGGGCACCCTCAGGAATCAGGACTGAACCACTCCTCTCCTAGGCAATGTGCAATGAGCACAGCCATTTTGTCTGAAGGAAACAATAATGAAAATGCTGATCTTTGGGGGTAGGCTGACTAATTGCCATTTGTCCACTCAACAACCAAAAAGGGGGTGAGTCTAATCATCAGGTTAACTGCTGCTGAGCCCACATCCTGCTCTCTCTCACTCTAAGGGGAGCCCCAGGACTCTCTCCACCTCATTTGTCCCAATGGAGGAAGGAGGAAGATCAAAACAGAGTCCTCAAGGAGTCTGCAGGGATGCCCTCAGGTGGTGTGTTTTTTCTCTCTCTCTCTCTCTCTCTCTCTGCTAGAAATAACAGCTGGTTCTGGGGAGCCTTCTACTTGGGAGATGGAAAGCCTCGGGGCATGGAGTACCCTGCCTCTCTCTCATCTGGGTACAGAAGGAAACCTGACCAACTCCAAGCCTTCTCCAGCCTGCAGATGAGTTTGGTCTTGACCACACTGCTACTTTTTTCATTTTTTGTTTTGTTCTGTTTTAGCGTGAATTCATTGCCAAAATTGGGAGATTTTGTACAAAAATCCAGATCTTTTTGGATTCTTTAAATAAAAGTCCTGGCAACATTGTGCCTACATTAGTTGAACCTGAGTTCTGGCCCTCCCTAGAGCTCCCTAACACTGGGGGGCCCAGAAGTGGTTCTTCATCACTGAATCAGCACTGCTGGTTTTTCTATAGGAGACAGGAAGCAAGTGAAGTAATTCTTACAGCCACGCAGCTATTGAAAGTGAGAAAGCAAAAGGAACTTGTGGGAAGCATGTTTTAGGAGAAATGGCAGAGAGTATGTTTCTTTATAGAGATGTGAATGTGCAAATAACTTGTATATGTATCTCAGGAAGATAATTTAAGGTGCCATTCTGAAATAAAACCCCACTTCACAGACTTACTTTGCCTGTCTGGTCCTCAAGAAAAAAAAGGTACCCCAGGCTAGTGCAATGACACAGAACCCAGCTCAAGGACACAGCATCTAGCACTACGGTTTTTAAACTACAGGTCATGATCCATTAGTGAGTCATGAAATAAATTTAGTAGATCACCACCAGCCTTTTTTCTTTTTCTTGCTTTCTTCTTTTCTTTTTTAATAGCATAGAATAGAAAAGAGAATGCACTGCAAATCGTAAGAATAAGTATTAAATGTATTAAATAGTAATGATTAAGTAAGCTTTCTGGTTTTGGTTTTATATACACATATCCAGTCATAATGTGGAGTGCATTTTAAAATTATTGGTGACAACTTAAAAACAAACAAACAAATAGGTAAAACACAGCGGTCTACCACAGCCCACCAGGGTAGATAACCAGGGAAAGACTGGGGGGTAAAGTCCCACCTCCCACAGGCAGCAGGGACAGGGGTGGAGGTGAAGAACTGTGGGTTGTGGGTCATTTCTCTCTCAGAGACACACTTTTTTCCCAACTTCCCAGAGGAAACGGAGGTTGCTGATGAGCCTGTGGAACCTGGTCCCAGCCCACAGCAGGCTGTCTGCAGAACTGTGGTCAGTACAGCCCTGGGTTTTCCGCCTCTTACTGCACCATGGCCCATGTATCTCCTTCCCCACAAGTGGCCAGTAGAGGGTTTGGGAACCTGACAGTGATCCTGATAATACTAGCAAGATCACTTTACGCAGATTGAGCACTTTTCAATACTCTTCAGACTTTCACATCTATAAACACTGCATCAGTTGAGCTCTGCAAAAGAGGTAAGGCACGTTTCAGCAGCCCCAGTTCATATACAGGGACACTGTGCACTGTGATCATGTTCTTCACCCAAATCACAGAGCTAGTTAGTGATGAGGCTGAAACTAGAATCCTTACCTCCTGACTATCACCCTAGATTCCAAACACTCTGCCTCAAGCCTTTTGAAAAGCAGATAGCAACTGATTTTCTCATGTCCTGAAGGCACCCAGACATCTGCCTGGATTTACTGTGCACAGTTTCTTCTTGACTTTCCCTACCTACGGTAGGCAGAGAATTGACAGCTGGAGAGAATTCTTTAAACCAGTAGCTCTAGCCAGTGGTGCACAACAGAATCACACCTGGTAAGTTTTTTCAAGGTACATGTACTAGTCTTGTCCCCCAGCTCCCAGGGGTAGTAATTTCTAGAAATGGGACCCAGCCACATATATGAGATCACTGCCCTAAACCTTATTTCAGATATTAAGCTGTACACTCCAGTTGCTAAGGAGCAAAACTGAAACCTATTTGCTTTCTCCTCTGACTTGTCTACTTTCTTCTAACAGAAGTGTTAATGAACATGGACTTGACCCAAAGGCTGAGGGGAGAAAGACATAGCAAGGGGCCTGAATGGCCCATTCCTGAGTGATCCTGAGCTGGCTCTCCTGCAATTCACCTAAGAGTCCATGGTGTTCGTAAAAACTAAGCAGGTGCTTCCCACCATGGCAGGCCCAGTGCAATTCAGATCCGATTAGAGATGCTCGTTCAATATTCAAAATGTAAAACATAGAGGTTGCTGAACCAGCACTTTGAAAAGTTAATTAAATGCCAGGTTTCTTTTTAAGAGCTACTCCATCACTTGCTGATTGCTTTGGCCATTTTGTAGAAAGAAGCTTTAACTCTGGACAATGAGGGAAATACTCTACCCCACCTCCTACCTGTGGAGATGGGTGACAGGAGTAAGGACACCCTGGGTTCCTCCTTCCCAGTGACTTGGCGAAGGGGAAATCACAGCTGTCTCTGTGTGGCCCTGACCAAATTGCCCAAAATGCTCAGCCACAAAGCTGCTGCATTCTTTAAACATCAGTGTCTCAGGTAGAGGACTTTATCGTTAAAGGGGCCGTCTTGCTATTGCAACCTTCATTTAAAGCCCAGTCCTTCAACTTAACACTCGATCAGCGCCCTTCTGGTGTGTATCCCAACTCATCTCTGACCTCTGCTTGGTTTCTCCCCCTTGGCTTGATGCATCCACTCTCAGTTCTCAGGGAAAGCCCATTCTGAGCCCTGGCCCCAACTCCTTCACGCTGCTCCCATCCCCACAAACCTGTCATAGGAAGGGTGGTGCCTGATGATAACAACATCAAAAGCTATTGAGCTTGTTGGGTGCCAGGCACTGTCATTATATTATTTATGTTACAATTATATTAAAGTATAAGTTACATATAGTATTATATTTTATCTCATTGAATTATCATATTATCTTATTTAATTCACTCTGTTTTACAGGTGAGGAGACTGGGTCTCAAAGGGATGAAGTAACTTGCCTAAGATCACCCACCTAGAAAGT